TTTCCAACCTTAATGATTCCATGATCTGTGCTCACGCTGCAGTTTGCTGCTGACACATGAGCTGATCCTTCAGCGTCACTCGAGGCGGGAGTTTGATTTTGAGATCACAGTCTGGTTCTGTAACATGCAGAGCTCAGGCCTTTTCCTACAACTGAGCTGGATGGTGCTGTGGGGACATTAACTCTCCAAACAGCCGTGTCAGTTGTTCTGTGCTGTGTGGAGCTCTCTGTATGTCTGTCCCTCAATGAGGATTTGTGATTTTATTTCTTTTCCCTTCTTTTATAACAGGCTTTTTCAAGGTTCTGGGTCAGCTGACTGAAACTGGAGTTCCAAGCCCAGAGCAGTTTATCAGTGAGTACATCATTATTTCTTGGCATTTCTGTAGAGCTTGCTGGGAACCAGAGGATGCTGATGCTGACAACGAAGCTACTGGGTTGTGAGGCTTCTGTGACCTCCTGATGCCAGAGGGATTTATTAGCTCAGCTCCCCTGGGGCAGCCTTTGGCGCTCAGCGTCGGATCTGGTCGCAGCAGCTTTCTTGGCTGGGTCAGGCTCAAATTGTGTATGTGCTGGGGAGGGACTTTTCATAAGGGCAGTTAATGACAGAACAAGGGGAAATGGCTCTAAACTGGAAGGGGGAGATGGAGATGAGATGTGAGGAAGAAATTCTTTAGTGTGAGGGTGGTGAGACCGTGTCCCAGGTTGGCCAGAGAAGCTGTGGCTGCTCCTCCCTGGAAGTGTTCTCGGCCAGGCTGGATGAGGCTTTGAGCAAGGTGGTCTAGTGGAAGGTGTCCCTGCTGATGGCAGGGGGGTTGGGACTGGATGAGCTTTAAGGTCCCTCCCAACCCAAACCATTCTGTGATTCTATGATTCATTCTATGATTTTGAGACTGAGCTGTAGATACCTGGCAGGCTGCTGGGGGGTGGCTTGTTTTGGCTGAGGTGTCACAGAAGCACTGGGGAGGCAGAAGCCTTTGATCACAGCTCAACAGCATCCTGAGCTGGCTTCACTGGTTTCACTGAGGTGTGAAAGAACTTAGAGGAGGTGCTGCCACCTTCATTGTGGTGCTGGGGACGGAGGGTTCTCCTGGCAGCTCAGGAAAAGGCATGTGTTTAATTTCTGCATTTTTTGGGTTAGTCTGACTCTGGGACTTCCAGGTTCTGGGGTGTCTTGGGCGCATCTTCCTTGTGATCCTGAACCCTGCAGCGATCTGCATTTAGAATCTGTTGCAAGCATTAGGCTTCCCAGCAATTTAATCTGAGATTAACAGTTCTGCTGTCTTGTCTGCTCCTACAGAAACCTTTGAGCACATGAAGAGATCTGGAGATTACTACGTCACTGTCGTAGAAGACACAAATCTTGGACAGATTGTCGCTACGGCGACGCTGGTGATAGAACACAAGTTCACTCACTCCTGTGCAAAGGTATGTTCTGTTCCCTCACTGCAGCTGCACAGTGAGGACAGAGACCCTGTCCCCTGTCTCTGTTCCTGTTTTCCTGGTGTTACTGTGGGATGAAGTACCTTCTGCTGGGCAGTGACAAAAACACTTGAAAAGTCTCTCCCATCCTTGGGTGCTCAGCTAAATAGTGAAAGGAAATAATAGTGAAAGGAAGGAAATAATAGTGAAAGGAAGCTTTGGCTTCTCTTAAAGAAAAAAGAGCAATTTGATGTCTGTCCCATTCTCCCAGTGATAGTGAGAGGAAGGAAATAATAGTGAGAGGAAGGAAATAATAGTGAGAGGAAGGAAATAATAGTGAGAGGAAGGAAATAATAGTGAAAGGAAGGAAATAGTGAAAGGAAGCTTTGGCTTCTCTTAAAGAAAAAAGAGCAATTTGATGTCTGTCCCATTCTCCCAGTGAACTTTTGAACTAGTCAGGCTTGGTTCTGATGGAGCAGATGGTTGAGGATCTCGCTGCTGTGACATCCCAGCCAGACAGGGAGCTGGAGAGACACAAATCCCTCGGTGGGTCAGGCTGTGCTGGGCCTGCAGCTCTGCTGGGTGCTGGAAGGGGAATTACGAGTGTGTGGAGCACAGCAGGAGCTGAATCTCACTAGGCAGCAGAAAATCCAAGTGTGAAACGTAGCACTGGAGGGAAACTAACACAACAGCGTTCCCTTCGAGTAACCCTTGCCTGTGTTTTCACAGAGGGGAAGGATAGAAGATGTCGTGGTGAGCGGGGAGTGCAGAGGAAGGCAGCTGGGGAAGCTGTAAGTATTCACCTTCACCATTCACTGGCGGGCAGGCAGCGAGCCCTCGCTCAGCTGGTTTCTGTCCCCACGCTGATGGGTGTCAGCAAACACGCTGGCAAAGATGGTTCCTCAGAGCTCTGGGAACAGGATTTCAGCTCTGAGGGGCAGATCCTCCCCAGCCAGGCATGGGAAAAGAGTTTAGCTAGGAGGTATCACTGCCTGGCAGAGTGCAAGGTGAGGTGATGAGGGGCTGGAGCATCTGCCTGACGAGGAGAGGCTGAGAGAGCTGAGACTGTTCAGCCTGGAGAAGAGCAGCCTGAGAGGGGATCTGATCAATGTCTATAAATATCTGAAGTGTGGGGGCCAAATGGATGGTGCCCAGTGACAGGACAAGGGGCAATGGGCACAAACTGGAACATCAGAAGTTCCAGACAAACTTAAGGAAAAACTTCTTTCCTGTGAGGGTGCCAGAGCCCTGGGACAGGCTGCCCAGAGAGGGTGTGGAGTCTCCTTCTCTGGAGATGTTCCAAACCCACCTGGACACTTTCCTGTGCAACCTGGTGTAGGGA